CCCCCGGCTCCATCACAGCTGGGGAACGTGATCGACATTCCTTACGGTAAGTCAACGCATCCGACACTCGCTGACGGTGAGCAAATTTTGTATTGGTGTGAAGGCAGTGTGTATTTCTCATGTTTAGTTGCTCGTTGGCTGCAGCAGCTAGATGGCCAGCATTTAATTTTCAACTGAGAGGGCATCCCTAATGCCGTATTTATATCATTGATAATGTCACCTCATTTCATTTTAGAACGGTTGTAGTCGAACCACTAAGTTGAAAGCTTCTGGTTGAAGGTAACTCAAGGTTTCCTGTGTGCGCGAGATAATTCTTTCATCTTCACAATAAGCTTACTACGATAGGTTCTCTGTCTGTGCTGATGTTTGATTAGTAAAGACAATGAACAAAAGATAACGGGATCAAAGAATGAGGTGCTAAATATACGCGGCCGTGTTGGATTGTCAAGAGTTTCGAACTACGGCTGCATCGGAAGCTCAAAATGGTGGTTTATCTGAAAGAAGAACAGTTATTTATTATCGGTATTCCTCTGATACTTCAATGTGTAGGCTTCTCAAAACTGTTTGTGTGTAACTTGAACCGCTTTCCGGTAGAACTGCCTAAATATGTGAGTCAAGTGTAATGGCAATATGCCCGTGAACGATGTACAAGCTTTCCATTTCGTAATCTGACAACCTCTGTCTCCTTCAATCTCTACATATCACTGGTACATTACATCCAGGACTGTGCATGAACTGAAAAACTGTCCCCTCCAGGTTATATGTAGAATACGACGGGATCCCGAACCAAGTTGATTTACGCACAAGCCTCAGAAGACGGATTCAACAAGTTTGAGTTATCTATTGGAAATGGTACTATAAGCAATCATATAAGAATATATATCTTGCATAATTACTGGTATATGAATGATTGTACAGAATTTCCCTGGTGTTGCAAACAAGGTTGTTGTGACGAAAATAAACCTGCTTACAAGTAGATGAATGAAGTGGCAAAAGATTACCGGGTACACATGCCTGACGAGCGACAGGAACCGTGAAGTCGGTCGTGTGCTTCAAGGGAAAATTTGTCCTGTCATTCAGTTACTTCTTATTATGGAATATTTTATAAAGACGCTCAAGTCAGGTTTGTTGCAGTTTGTATAGTCTAACCCCCGTACAGAACATTGAATCATAGTATTGATTCTTCGCTGGACTGACTCTGAAATAGTTGTCTATTCAAAACTACCCGGTGTTGGAAATGAGGTTATTGTGCCGATCACGATCCTGATCCGAAAAACAGATTTACCGTCCTCTGTGTTGATACAAATGGCCGGCTTCATGGGATCCGTTGCAGTTAGAAGGGGAAATCTGGCATGTGTGAAGAAAAAACTATCACACATTGCCCACTGTTGGGGAGCGAACAGTAGATTGCGTAAATAATCACAGGAACCTGCTGTTCACTACCCGGGACCGCTGACCTTATCCGTGACCTTATCACGATGGTCAGTCTGGAGCCGGACGACGGCTCACCTGCGTACTACCTACGTTGGGTGTTGGTGGTAGGCTTTCACTCTCGGATCTTATGTTCCGAAGTACGCCAACGACATGCACTCAAACCATCGCCACCCACACTTTTTGTAGAGCCTACTGCTTCTGTCTTCACTGTGAGTAATAATTTTGTCAATCCATTCATCATGAGTCTCCATCTTCGGAATTCTCCCTTAGTTCGGAGTCGCTCTCATGAACCTGCAGTAGTGCGTGACTCTTCGATTCTCAGCTCTGGGATTCTTTTGCTATCGACGTATCCCGTTTAGTTTTAATTTTTACACCGTGTCTGTCCCGCACACCCTAAAGCTTTTATTTTCAACATTTTTCCGTCAGATGACTACATTCAACTTCTGTCAATTTTGGGACCAATACTGGAACCATGTGCTTTGGAATCGTCAGCTGTTCAGAGAACTAGTATTGGCATCGGACTCCCAAGCTTATTAATCCAGCCCAATCCCGAAGGTCTAGATCTAAAAGTCGCTCTTCCCGAGGTAGTCTTCGCTGAATGGATTGAACCGGTATTAGAACATCTACAACTGCAAACTGAAGACATACAAGACCCGCCTAACGCGTCTGTCGATTGGCTGTTGGCTGTCGGTCAGCTTTATGCCTCTTTGGTTTGTCTATCTGACTGTCCATCTTTTGCACAGTTGCCGTTCAAATTACCCCTTGTCATCAAGGATCGTGCTGAGCGTTCCATAATCGTCCCGCCCCTGAGCTGTCTCCCGAATGAACGTCGCAGTGAACCCATCTTCCTGCCACCTACTTCATTTACAATCGCCGCTGGCATCAAACAAAACCCGGGCTCACCAGAAGAGTTGGAAACACGATTGTTCGAATTCCTCCTCAATCAATTAGAAGGTTCCGACGTTATTCGGTTAATCTCAGTTGCCTATTTTACAAAGCCATTGTCTACCGATCGACGTGGATGTCGCTGGTTCCAACTGTTTTCCGAAGCAGGTTGGTTGTGAATTGTACCAGAAATTGATATTTACGATTTTTTCGTTCCCACGGTTATTCTTATTTTTTCACTGTCGCTATCTATCTCACTAGTTGCTTGTCTTTTAATCTGACTACTCATCGCACTATATTCCCATCATAACTTGGCATTCAGGGCTTTAAGGCGGTTTCTTTTTGCCGTCGTAATTAAATAGGTCTCTCCGATCATATCCTTTTTGGTTTGTTCGTGCTATGTTTAAACAAAGAGTAACATTTATTATACCCGAAAATACCGTCAGTCTAATTTGCTCTTGATTAACTGATCCCCTAACTGTTCCCATCGCCGGGGTTAAATGAATCAAGTGATGCTTAATGCGAATCAATTAATCGTTGCTTTCGTTTGTACAGCCCACTTCGGTCGTGGACCCGGGGATGAGGATCGTCCTTGTTTAGGAACGCTGTGATATGTGGCCCAGAATAGAAGTGCCTGGCGTGAATACCGTACATTCTGTCCGTTGAAAACTCCTCACCTCATAAAAACGATAAACCACCAAAAAAATCAAGCTGTGTACGGTGAAACAAGGAAAATGCTTGTCACTNNNNTTGTCACTATTCTCTCGATTTACTGTAATTGCTTGTTTTCCATGTTCTCCTCTGTTTCTAATCCGACCATTTTCCGTTATTATTGTTGTTTCGTTTCCACCATGTTTGTTCACAAATCCGTGAATATTTCTTCGATTGCGTAACTCAAACAGACTCAATCTAAGGTTTACAGCTTTTATCTTTCTCAAACTATAAACTAACGTTTATCATTTGTCAAATGCGTACCACAAGGATTTCGGTTCCTTTTCCAATGGAATCTATATCTTCGTGCAAAAAACCATTCACTTTCGCTCCGGGTCTTCTGAGTTGTCTGAGGCGTTTATAATTATGTAACAACGTTACTTCTGGGTCAGTATTTCTTACGAATCAGTGACCGGGAGTATGATGTCACGTTGTTTTGTTTCTGTATATATTAGTCGGCTTCAGTTTGTTCAATAAAGTTGACTGGAATGATCAAACAGTGCCCGGAAAAGATACGGAATGCAGGTTATTCAAGTATGAATAAAAAATCAGCTGATTTCCAAACGTCCCTGTTTGACACGCCTAACACAAAATCCCTTTCCTTATGATCAATTGATTGCAATTAAAGGCGTAAACCCTTAGGTCAAACAGTAATGGAGTTTGTCAAGAAATATCCGGGACTTGGAGGGACTAACTAACTAGGGACTCAATAGGAAAGGTGTGATAGTGACCCTGGCAATATTGTATTTATGCCTCAGACCATTAATCAGGCTAACCACGAAATTCTCGCTGGGACGTAATCATTGTATTCTAACAACCTTTAACCTTCTTTCAATCATTTAATGAGTGTCACTTTCAGTGGAAGATCTTCTGGGGACACGCATAGCATATTCCGGAGGTCGAAATAATCTGCTTCGCTCAATGACTTGCTTTAGTGCGCGACCATGATTACGTACTACTCTATATCCGAATTCACCTTGGCCTCTCCAGTTGTTCCTCCGGGATTCCACCATAGGACATAAACAGTGTAGTTCGTTTGGCGACAGTCTTCATTTATCTTGAGCCCGTAGTCTATTTGCATCATCCACGGCGATAAAAGTATTGCACCCCGTGGATTTTTCTATTATCTCCGTTCCCGCGTGCACAATCATCACCATTTTTGAGAATCTAGAAAACAACCAAATGGAATACCGAAGTGTGAAAGTTAATCAAGACATCCTTATTTTCAACATAAATATATCGGAAAGAACAATTTCCATCCCAACGAAAGTATCGCCCCTTGGATACTATCCATTCAGTTCACTTTAATACGCTGCGTGAGATTGCTAATCAATTCGACGTCAGTATTATTCCATTCTCTACTCAACAATTCCTCTAAATCATGTTTTGTAATGTAAACTCTAGAGTGTTGGTGCGGCTTTTAGTACCGCACCCTCTATCGACTTTGCACAGCCAACTCACCTTGAAAATGGTTGCGATAGGCATCCTGACTTCGCACTTCAGCATGGCAAACAGTAGACGTGGTGAGCCAGTGGTCGATAAACTTACGGTCATGCTGACGTCACTCCCGATGACCTTGAACGAATAGAAACGCCCAAGCCGCTCACAAAAGACCATTACCAGCCATGGTGTGATGGAAGAGGTATACCGATAACGAGAAATCCCGAATTGATGTCTTTCACAACATTAGACTGTGCCACAATGTTTGAAAGTTAAAAGTTAAAAACATGTGACAAACGGACTGGATACAAGAAAACGCTCTGGCATAAAAGCAAGGAAAGATTATTACGCATGACCCTCAAACGCTGAGTCATGCATTGGAGATAGGAACGATGCTTGACTTGTACGTTTTGGTGCTAACAGTTCAACGGACTGTTGTAACGTTCGGATAACGACACGACACCGTGATGGTGCCTTGTCGAGCAATACCCCAACCGAACCCGCCAGGCTGTGTGGGGTGCACGATTCAAACACCTACATTCGGACATTGGAGTGGTTCCCTATACAAATAATGGCATCGAATGATCACCATAAAACCACATCGCACCGTGATCCTAAGATTTTCCTTACTCATCACCAACGTAGTGCTGTTTATCAATTCGC